ATGAAGAAGTAGCCTAGAATGGAGAGGTGAATAGAGGGTTAACAAAGCCTGAGATGCATCAGGTTCTTTAATATACAGCGAGGACTAGATCAGCCATTGAACAAAAATAGCTGATCGAAAGTTCTCCCACTCTTGCAAAACATAGTTGCCAGACACTCCAAGGTTTAGGTTAATTTTTTGTTATATTCAAAACACACGTGTATTTACATTTAAATCTGGCCACTAGAGGATGCTGTAGCCTGCCAACTGACAGCCAAACCAAAGCCTAACAACTCTCACCAAATACTGCGCTAACAGAAGTTTGGAGGCAAGATGGCTTCCAGCATCTTGTCTGTGATGCCAGAGGACACTTAGAGGGCACTACTAGTATTAAGGAACTTTGCCATGTAAACAGAATTTAAGTCATTAAATGCTACAAATTTTCATGTCTAATTGGACCATTCTACAAGTTTGGAGAGAAGAGTCTTGGAGATTATTAGCAGAAGCAAGACAATAAACCCAGACTGTGTTTAGTGGTTCTGCTCTCTCTGACCCATCGGAAAGCATATGGAGGTTCATATATGGTGCTTATGTTTCAAAAGAGGTGATTTACAAACTGAAATATGTTTGGAGGACAAAAACTATCAAAATAAAAAGAATTTGAAACTTTGTCTTATGATGAGCGGTTGAAAGAAGTAGGAAAATTTGAGCCAAGGGAAGGAAAACCCATAGAACTTGGTGGGTCTTTTCAAGCAGTGTAAGGGATGACAATGTTAATGCCATGAAAGCAGAAATTTTGTCCTTTTTCCACTGCTGTATTGCAGGCTCAAAGACAGTATCTAGTACTATCAATTAATATTCTTAATTAATATTAAGGTACTCAATTAATACTTTTCATTATATAAATGAATGAGGAAGAGGAATGAACATGTTCTGGTTGGCCCCCAAGGGTAGAATTTAGACTAATTGGGTAGGGATTAAAGCGAGACTGATTTTGACTCAGTAGAAAATGTACACTATGATGCTTTAAGATTAGGGGCTTTGATTTAGAGAGCCTGAGCTTGAATCTGGCTCTACCACTATTTAACCATGTGTTGGGAGAGAAAGAAGTCGGAGAATTTCACAAAGTCTGTTTCCTTATCTCTAATATGGGGTTCATAATAATTCCCTTATAGAGCAATCAACCCAATGCCTTCCATACAGTAAGTGCTAAAGAAGTATTAACCATCATCATTATTATTATTGTTATTATTTGTAACCCCTGAGCTCACTAAAATGGCAACTGATTATCTCCTGCTACATGAACATTGCTATGACAATAACTTTACTTCTTCAGGTAACAATTCATTGCATTACTGAATTGTCAGGGATTTTGTGGAAGACATTCCTCAGCTGGGTACAAGATTGGACTAAAATCTCTGCTTTTAACTAAAAAATTCCAGAATTACAAACCACACCTCCAAAATATAAGTATAAGAGAACAATTTTGTGGACTGAGAAGGGTTTTGTGGCCCTGGGAGGTAATAGGATAATAAACCCAGCTCACATTATTAGTTCTCCCTCCCTAGATAAAGATAAGAGCTGTAATTCTCTTTAAATGCAGGGCCATAGAACTGCAGGTAAACTCCAAGAGGGTATTGTCACAAGGCCGATACATTTCTGTACACTTTCCTTTGTTGGTTTCAGAGTATTTGAAATATGAAGCTATCTGAAGGAAAGAGTATATCAAAAAAAATTTTTGCTCCATCGGCGAAATAAATTTGTATGAAATTAAACTTTAAAAAAAAATTACATTAAGCCTCCTGAGAAAAAGGGAAAAGAAACATATTGAACCTTTATATCCATTTCTCTGTATCCCCTAAAAATCTTAGCTTATTCCAACTATG